CTTTTTTTCATGTATTCCCAACTGTATTGTAAGCACCTTGAGAACAGACACCAGAGTCTTAAAATTATTTTTAACCACTACAAGTCCAACTTATCCTGAAAGTACTAGACTGAAAGAAAAAAGATAAATGTAGCTAGAATTCTGGTTCTGCCCTCTGTTCTGGTGGGTGACCTTGGACAAGTGACTTCACGGATTTGAGGTAAAATTAGAGGACTGAACTAATTCGATGATGTCAAACATTCCTTATATCCCAAACATCATCTGATTCTGTGAAAGACTGGTGGTTATTCTCTCAAGCCAGTAGCCTTGTTTTGTGACAGTAGACTGGTCTTGGCTATGGTCTTAGTGCCCTCTGGTGGCACAGCAGGTCACATGCCTCCTCCCTCCCTCTGATGCACTCCACTGTAAGCACATCTCAGCTTCAAAAATAGTAGTAGGCCTCAACCAGTCAGAAGATACCCTCTAGTGTCCATATATAACAAAGAGAAAATGGGGCATTCACTCATGACCCTACAAGTGATGGAGCCCCCAAAAGTAGTTTCTTTTCATAAACTGGTCAGGGGTATAAGTGGACAAGGCCCTGGAAAAATTCATACCTACAGTAGAATACAGTAGCATTGGGTTTGGAATCTGAGGATCTAGATTCAAATTCCAGACTTGTATGTCTGTTGGCAAATCATTTAATATCTCTGGTCCCAGTTTTCTCATCTGTAAAAAGGGGCTTGGGTGAAATGTTCCTTCAAGCTCTAAATTTGTGGTTATCTCTTGTCAGTTTTGTGGACTTGGCCTATGGGTCCAAACATTCTGGAAAACTATTTGGAATTATGTGAGAATAGTCACCAAAATGTTCATATTTTTTGACCCTGATATTCCACTGCTGGTCAAATGCACACAGAAACATGGTAAGATTTACATGAAACGATATAGAATGAAGATGTAAATGAAAACAACACAAAGGAAAGAATTCTAATTAAGTGTAATGACCAGTCTTCATTCTGGAGAAGAGTTGGGGGTGGGAGGGAATCTATGGGTATAGGCCACTGATGAGCTAGTTTAACCTCACTGTTTTTCTTTGTTACAAGGGAAAGACATGGGGAAATTGTTATAATGTAAAAAAATAAAACATGTCAAAACTTAAAATAAAGGAAGAGGAAAAAAAAGGAAGGTAAAAGAAAGGAAGTCTTAGCTTTTCCCCCATTTCTTAACTTCATAACAAGGACAAGCAAGACTTGACTTCTGTGAACTTTTCTTGTCCTTGGCCCTGCATTTATATTCATTCAGTACAGGATCCTTCCAGTCTTCAAAGGAATGGGGAAGGAAAGAAGTGTGAGATGGTAAGGATGGTTAAAGATCTAGGGTTCTAAAGATTCCTTAACTTCTGACCAACCATTCAACTGAAACTGTCCTCTCAAAGGCTACCAATAATTTCTTGACTGAATGGAGCGGGTAGGGCCTCTTAAGATAATGCTATACTACAGGGAATGAGGGCAGCTAGGTTAAAACACTAGGCCTAGAGTCAGAAAGACCAGAGTCCAAAATCTGACCTCAGACACTTGCTAGTTGTGTGACCCTGGACAAGTTTGCCTTAGTCCACCGGAAAAGGAAATAGCAAACTTCAGTTATCTTTGCCAAGAAAAACCCATGGACAGTATGGTCCATGGGATTATGAAGAGTTGTACACGACTGAACACACATGTGATGGGGTGCTCAGGCCCCAGCCCTAAGATCATGTCTCTGGAAGCCTCCCAATTTCTCAGTAGGACCCTGTTTGTCCTATGAGAAAATTTTCTCTTGTTGCAGAACATTCTCTTATCAGAACAGAGAGAGGGGTGCCTGGCTCATGGACTGTTGTCTCTGGCTGGCCCAAGGACTCTTTCTCCCACCACATCACCAAGGTACATGTCTCTAACAACTCCCTCAGTGTCTGGTATCAACCAAATTATCTCTACAAAACTCCCTATATTTTCCCATCCATAGCTCCCAAAGACACCTGGATCCCTTGCATTACCTAACTAGAATCCGTGGCATCCTTTCCCTTGTCCCTTTTCCATATAAGCCCCAGCACCATCCTAACTTTCTCACAGGTTCCCTAAGGACCCTTGCCCGATTTAGCTAAAGCATTACATTAAACTTTGCCACTTGACCAAGAGAAGGCTTGAGTGTGTGAATTCATTCCAGGCAACTCTGCCTTGGCATTCTCAGGGTCCTAGCACCCCCAAACCTCATCACATGTGCAAGACAGTGTGTTCAGTGCTGGGGATATAAAAACTTTAAGGCATCTAGGTAAGCACAGAGGATAGAGTGCCAGGCCTGAAGTCAGGAAAACTCATTTTTCTGAGTTCAAATCTGACCTCAGACACTAGCTGTGTGATCCTGGGCAAGTCATTTCACCCTGTTTGCCTCTGTTTCCTCATCTATCAAATGATATGGAGAAGGAAAAGGCACACTACCCCTGTATCTTTGCCAAGAAAACCCCAAATGGGGTCAGGAAATGGTACACTATCTCAGTATCTTTGCCAAGAAAACCCCAAATGGGGGTCACTAAAATGACTAAAGAACAACACCACCATCCTTGCAGTTACCCAGCTTTGTAGTGTTGGAGTCTTGCTCAATTCCTACCTTTCCCTCACTCCTCCCCTCCCATAGTGACTCAGTTGCCAAGGTTGCCAAAGGGATATTGACTCCTACAGCCCAGGCCTCACCTGAGACTCCTCCACAACTGAACTTCTAGTGCCTCCAGCTTACTTCTAGGATGAAATACCTGTTGGTGGTTTGAATTTGAAACATTCAAAGCCCATCACAGTCTAGCCCCAGCTGACCTTTCCACGCTCATGGAATACTACCCTTCCACATACTCTATGTTTTGTCTAGTTCAGTGGTTCTCTCAAAGTGTAGTCCAGGAACCCCTCAAATCCCTGAGACCCTTTCGGGAGACCTCCTTTCAAGAAGTCAACAAAGTAGAAGCTATTTTGTAATAATATTACTATGTTTTTATTTCTAAAATGACAACTATTGATAGATGCTTGAAGGGAAGGGAGAGGGGAAGGATCCAAGGGGAAATCTAGGTGATGTGGAAAAAAATTAGCAAAAATCTATTTTAAAATAATTGGTAGCTTTGGAGAGAACAATTTCATTTGAATGGTAGAACCTGGAGGTATTTTACAAGTGATTTAAAAACTAAGTGAGGAAGTGTAGATAAGCAGTATAGACAACTTTTTGTAGGAGTTTGTATGGAAAAATCAAATTAAAGGTTTGTTTTTGTTTGTTTTTTAAGGATAGGGAAGACCTGTGCATGTTTATAAATGCTGGAGTAGAAGCCAGTGGAGGAAACATTCAAGACAAGAGAATGATAGAGGAGATGATTAGAAGTTGAGAGTGGAGGTGGAGCATAGGTCTTAGCAATGAGACATTTGTGAAATGGTGGAAGACTGAGCACAAAGAATGGCAAAAAAAAAAACCAAACCAAAAACAACAACAACAAAAAAAACCCAAAACCCAAACAAAACCAAACAAGACAAAACCAGTTCCTTCTCTCAAGGAGCTCACTATCTAATCGGGGAGAGAGTAGGCAAATAACCATGAATAATATGTTGATAGGGAATAAATCGGGGTATTCTCAGAGGGAAGGTACTAAGATTAAGCCCAACTGTGGGAAGGTTTCCTGCATAAAGTGGGACTTTGGCTGATTCTGGAAGGAAGCCAGGAAGTGTGGAGATGAGGAGCGGGGAGAGTTAGCGGCATGAGACAGCCAGTGAAAATACCCTCTCAGGAGCAGCTGGGTGGTGAAGCGGAGGAAGCACCGGCCCTGGAGTCAGAAGGACCTGAGTTCAAATGTGACCTCAGGTACGTAACACTTACCAGCTGTGTGACCCTGGGCAAGTCGCTTAACCCCATTGCCTAACCAAAAAAATGAAATAAAAATACCCTCTCCCAGTCCCGAGATGAAGTGTTGTAAGGAATAGCAAAGCCAAACAGAGGATTTTTCTATTTTATCCTGGAGATAATAGGGAACCACTGGAGTTTACTGAAAACAAAGCTGTCTTGAGAAAAATGTTTTGTAAATCTTAAAGCCCTACAGAAATGTGTATTTTCACACTCATGTCAAAGTAAATGGGGAGGATTCCATTAGCTTAGTTCAGGGTTCTTGGCCTGAGGTCCAGGGGTTTTTAAAAAATGGGTGTATGTTTGTAACTGTAAAATTACAAACCCCAGCTGTATAATCCATTTATTTATATTCGTTATATATGAATATTACATTTTGATATTTGTTACATGTTATATATTAAATGCATATATATATTTCACAGTTTTACATTTCTACATATCTGTTTTTTAAATACAAACTATATACACACGTATAGAGATAATTTTCGATGTGATTTCTTTTGTATTTTTGTGCATTTTATTTTATACACTTAAAAACATGATTCTAAGAAGGGATCCATAGGTTTCACCAGAGGTTCCAGGGCTGCAAAATCCCTATTCTAGACATTTTAGAGAGAAGGAAACTGAGGCCCTGGTAGGGAACGGACTTCCCCTGGGTCACATGGTCAGTGGCAAAGCCCAGTATAGTCACTCCTCCACCATCCAGAGCAAGGCTTATTCTGTGTGAGCCCCACAACAGTGTGGTGGGGGGAGGGAGGAGGAGTGGGGCCTGGAGGTCGCGCGCAGTCGCAGACGCAGACGCACCTGATCGCTCCATCCCCCTCCCCCATCACAAACGACGGTGCCTCAAGGGTAACCATGACAACCGGAAGCCTTGACGCTCAGAGGACGCTCCTTGGAGGTGGCGTCCCCTCCCCGGCCCAGTGAGGGCCCTGTGGATACGGTGCCCGGCTTGGCGGCGTCTGCGCAGGCTCCGGATTCCTGACACAGCGAAGAAAGGGGTGGGCAGAAAGGAAATAGTTTTAATTTCGGACGCGAGTTGATGATTTTTGTCCCGTCAGAATCCCCGTCCCGTGGCTGTTGCGCCAGGTCCGCTGAAGCCACGTGATTGCATCAAGGGCCAGAGAAGGGGCGGTCACGTGACGCGACGCCCCGGGAGCGGCCTGAACTGAATCGGCTGTCACGAAGGAGATGGAGGCGACTCTGGAGCAGCACCTCGAGGACACGTGGGTAGTGTGGCACGGGCGGTCCGAGCCCTTCGGTGGCCTCCTGGAGGCCTGGCCCGGGAGGGAGGGGAGGAGGCGGCGCGTTACCCGCTCCAGCCCGCGGGTGTCCGTGTCCGCGGCCCCGGCCTCGGGGCCCCTTGGCGGGGCTGCCGGACTGTTCCTGTAGCGCTTCGGCCGCGGCCCCGTGGGGGGCCTCGCGTAGAAAAGGGCTTCAAGCCGAGCCTCGCATGGCCGGCTTCTGTAACGTCGGCCTCTGGTCTGTGCTAGGATGAAGAACCCGTCCATCGTCGGCGTCCTGTGCACGGACTCGCAGGGACTGAACCTGGGCTGTAAGTAGCGCCTTCGAGATAGAGCGTGAACCCCGACCCTGGGGCGGGGGGTCATCCACACACGCCCCCCCCATTTCCGGTGCCTATTCCTGGTAAGAAGGTGAGAGGAGGAAGGACCGGCGGTACCTAGTTGTTCGATACTTCAGACGTGCATAACGCGCCTACTGTGTGCTGGGCGCGCTGGGGATGCAGGCAGAGGTCTGTGTGATTCCTGCACGCTAGGATCCTGTGTTCTGACGGAGGAGGACAAGGTGCAAATGATTGTATATTAAAATATATATATCTATATAAATATAGATATATATATGTACAGTTTAAACGGAAGGTAATCCTCGGAGCAAAGGCTCTACCACTGGCGGCGATGAGCAGATAAAGCCTCTTGCTGAAGCTGGGATTTCTTGGGGGGTGGGAGGGGCGGGAAGAGGAAGAGCATTCCAGGCTGGGGCAACCGTTGACAAAGAATTCACTCAGGAGATGGAGTGTCATAGGTGAGAATAGCAAGAAGACCAGTGTCACTGGACTTTAGAGGACCTCACTGGCCACAGGTGTTCTTTAAGAAGGGACATACTGATATGCAAAATGCCATGATCGTTATTGTTACTACTGTTGATTATAGTGTTTGTGACATTGATGTCCTTGCATTTTATAAGGGGATAGAGGGCTACATCTCTCTACACCTGTTTGTCTGAGCTGTTTTCATTACTAGAATTTCCAAGATTTAAAAAAATCTGTGGTTTCACTGTATAGCTTCTCTTTTCACTGTAGAAAACATTGATCTTTCTTCAACCTAGGGTAGAGGATTTTTGTGAATTGTCACTGGAAGAAATCAAATTTAACTGGCTTCATTACTGATTTGTTACATAATCCCAAGAGGGCTCTCAATGAAAGCTTTTAACTCTTCCTGGATTCTGGGCAATTATGTCAGCTGCAAACTTCTCTTTTCAGGCCCCACCCCCATGTACGATCACTACTGCCTTTCTTAAAGAGACAGGTCTCCAGCTTAAGGGAGAAAAGCAACATAAGCAGTTGATACCCCCACCCCATCCCCTTTTCCCTACTTCACACTCCAGAACTCTTACACATCTCCATCCATCCTATCTATGCTTCTTTGCTTCAGTCTCTGAGTAACACACAACCTTCCCTAAAAAGGCAAACCCTTCTACTTATACCTTCAGTCTCATCTTCAAAGAGCCAGTTTCATCAGTCGTTCCCTAATACTAGTCTTAGGTAGTTTAGGGATTATTTGGGAGATTACTTAGGACAGGGAGATAACTACTCCCCATCTACTGACTTCTTTGTCTTCCTCCCACCACCCTCTAGCTACAGTTAAGCTTGTCTGACCCATCACTTTAAAAGTTTATTTGCTTCTGCCCTCCCCACATGCTTCCATCTTTTTCCAGTGCCAAACTCTTTGAGAAAATTGTCTATACTTTAAGCCTCTGTTTCTTTACCAGACATTCATTTCTCAACCACATATAATTGGGCTTCCTCCAAGGTTACCAAGGATCTCTTTACCTGCTGAATCCAGCGGCCTTCCTCAGTCTTCATGGATCTTGATTTCTCCGAAGCTGTTACACTATTGACCATCCCTTCTTGAACGTAATCTCCTTATTTGGATTCCTTGGCATTGCTCTCTCCTGGTTCTCCCTTTCTGTCTTCATCCTATGAGATGCCCCCTTTGCTGAAATGCCAGACATCCCCTACCTCCTCAACGTGTCTACTCTAGGGCTGTTCTGGTCCCTCTTCCATGTATGTGCTTTCCCTGGTTTCATCTGTTATCATAGGTTCAATGTTTCTCTGCACTGATGACTTTCAAACCTGTGTTTCCAGCTCTGATCTTTTCCTGACCTCCATTTCTACTTTATCAGTTGCCTTCGTGGCATACCCTGGAGGTATGATAGTTTATCAAAAACTTATTAAAAACAGAACTATTATCTTCATTTTGAAAGCTCTTCCCCTAAAATTCCTTATTTGTGCTGAGGGCAGTAGTATCCTCTCTCACATCCTTGGCTTTTCCTTCTCCCTCCCCCCACCCCCCTCCCACCACTTGCCAACTCTTGTTGATTCTGCTATCCCTTCTCTTCACTCAGAATGGCTACTACCCTAGTTCAGATTGTAATAGCCTCCTAATTGGTCTCCCTGCTCCCAGTCTCTCCATTCTCCCCCCAGCTACCAAAATTACTTTCCTAATTCAGGTCTGACCATGATACTCTACTCAAAAATCTTGTCTCTCCCTGTTGTCTAGAGCATAAAGTACAAACTCCTTAGCCTTCAGCCTCTCATAATAACTGACGCTACTTTTTAGACACCTTATATAGGCCTCAAAACAGCCTTGTGAAGCAAGCCTTGCAGGTCTTATTATACCCCATTTTACAGCTGAGTAATCTGAAATTCAGAGAAGTTCAGTGGCTTATCTGTGTTCAATTCAGAGGTGTCTCTCCTCTGAATCATTCTGTGTGTCAGCCTAGCTTACCTTTACTGCCTTGTTTCATTGTATTCTGCTTCATACCCTCTGTATTCCAGCCATACTAGCAAATTATTTATTTCCAGTACTTGGCACACCATCTCCCATCTATGCTTTTGCACAGGCTGCCCCTGGCCCCCATCCCCCATGCCAAGAGACTCCTTCCTCATCATTGCCTTTTAGAATTTTTTGGTGGCTGCTTCTAAGGTTCAACTTTGGTACCAATAGGAGACCTTTCCTCCTGTTCACAAACCCACCACGTTAGTGGAACCTCCATCTTCTATTGATGATGTATTAGAGTTGTGTACCTGTCACAGAGTAAGCTCCTTGAGGACAAGGCCCAAGTTTTTGTTTTTTTCTAGTATCCCTAGCATAGGGCCTTATACACAATAAGTGCTTAACAATTGTTTATTTAATTGATTTGCTGCAGCTAAAAAAAATAAATGACAGCCAAACTTTGTTTTCATCTCTCAATTGAGCTAGACTGGCTCAGCCTACAGCGGATCTTCACCAAGCCCTTATTTGAAACCTTTTGGGCTGGTATTCATGGAAGATCAGAAAAATACTTTTGTGAGGCTGGGGGTTTTGTTGTTGTTAATTGTTTTTTAATGGAAGGGGGAGTGAGAAGGAAGATTACACCAGGTTGCTAAAGAGGATCAGTGGGGCAGCTAGGTGGTGCAGTAGAGTACTGGCCCTGGAGTCAGGAGGACCTGAGTTCAAATGTGGTCTCAGACACTTACTAGCTAGCTGTGTGACCCTGGGCAAGTCACTTAACTCCCATTGCCTCTTTAAAAAAAAAAAGGATCAGTGAAGCAGTTTTTTAAATGCGCAGAAGGAAACACAAAGAAGCAGGACAGCTGTACTTAAGATGTGGTTTGTGGTTTATGTTTAATCTTTTTTGTTCTACTTTGTATATGGAAATGCTCCTTTTATTTGATGTTTAAACAAGTTAAAAAATTTTTAATAACTCTTGTAGGGCACTTATAAAGAGATGAACCATTGCTAGAGCTCTGTAGCCTCAAAGAAATGGAGATTGTGAGGGCCCTGGCAGCAAATTCCATTTGTTTCCATTAAAATAACAGTAGTACTGTAAATGTTAGCACTATAAGGAACTTTAGAGGTCATCCATTCATTATACAAGTGAAGAATCTGGGACCACGGAGAGAGATTGTTACTTGTTCATGGCCACAAGGCCAGAAAATGCCACAGTCAGTACTAGACTTGGCTATTGTGGCCTTTAACCCATGCTCGAGTACTGTGTGAAATATGTGTATGAAAGAGATACCGATGCATTCTGGGCAGATTGGGGCAGGGGTGGGGGGGGGGGTGTTAAAGTTACTTTGTAGATTCATTTGCAAAACTTGTTTAGAATTCAGATGCCTAAATTCTGAAACCTGACTTTCTGTCCCCAAGAGGCTTCCTTCCGTCCTGTAAAACAGCACTGAGTCTCTTCGGTTTATGTCTCGGGCAGCAATCAGCAATAAATCCACATAATCTGTTGTGGTGATATGTCTGTTACCTGGCTTACTTTCAGATACAATTAGGGGATGCTTGTTTCTTGTAGCTGCTAACATATTTCAAAATAAACTTATTACTGTTGGTTTGTAGGACCTGAGGCTTATCCATTATCCCAAGACTGAAATAAGGCATCAATAAAAACCCAGTCTTACTAGCATTAAGTTAATTTAGGAGGATTCAGCCTCAGGAAATAAAAAGTCAGTTTATGCTAACCAAGAAATAAAGAGCTTCCAGAGTGCACACATTGTCAAGGTGAGTTGGCCTTATTGATGATCCTGGACAAAGGGCTTTAGGGGACACAGGGGGTTGAGTTTGGTAAATGAAGTAAAAACATTAATTTGTTTTATCAGTTTCTTACTTCTTTTGACTTTGCATGAATGAATCTATGTGACTTTCAGATTGATTTGAAATACAGCTTTCATTCCCTGGTTGGGATGGATCATGAAATTTAAGGCAGAGCTTTTCAGTGGCCCTTTCTTTGTTTAAGACTGGCAATTACCTAACTTGTTTGTGCAGATTTCGCCAGAAATTAGTATAGAAGGTAGTAAGTTAAAACATTCTCCATTGAATTGGAGCTCTACATAGTTAGTACTATCCTCATCCCAAATAGTAGTTGCTTAGGTTGGAGAATTTCTGTGTCTTTCAGGCCGTGGAACCCTGTCAGATGAACATGCCGGGGTGATCTCTGTTCTAGCCCAACAAGCAGCTAAACTAACCTCTGACCCAACAGACATTCCTGTGGTCTGTCTAGAGTCAGACAACGGGTGAGTATGTACAGTTAGATTTTAAAGTCCCTCTCTTTCCCTTTATTGATGAGAAATTTTATCTCAAATCAGAGTTGTACCACCATTTTTCATTCACATTTCAATGCTGTCATTGGGCCGACTGAAAAGAAGGTTTTCCATATGTCCTTTACGGGAATTTACATGTTCCTTTGCATAGGTTCCCAAAGTGGGTGATACCACCCTTTGGGGTATGCTGTAACTATCCAGGGAGGTGATAGTAGTCTTGGGTGCAATTGGGGGCCATTGAATAAAAATAAGGGGGACACTGAGTAATTTTTTTAAAGGGGGCAATAGGCCAAATAAGTTTGGGAACCTCGGCTTTAAAGCAAAGGGTTCTTAATCTTTTTGTGTTTTACAAACACCTTTGGCAGCCTGGTAAAGCCTATAGATATGGACCCTTTCTCAGAATAAGGTGGTTGTTTGGGTTTTTTTTCTTCTTACATTGATAATTGAAGGAAATGCTCAATTTAGAGGCTAGGGAAACTAAAGATGGAATTTTTTTTTTTCCAATCCAAATTCATAAACCCCCTAAAATCTATTCACAGATTCCTTGGGACATTAACAATCTCAGCTTTAGAACCACAAATATAACAAATGGGTTGGTAGCTTTTACCTATACCCAGTACTAATTTTATTAATCCATTATGACCTTGAATTTTATTCAATCTCAGAGCCTCAGTTCCTACATTAGAGTAATTAACACCTTAAGAGAAGTTATAGAGACTAAAGATAAATTTGATAGTACATTGTATAAATATAGACCTGATATTCCCTTGAACCAAGAAATGAGTAGCACAGAGAAAAAAAAGTTATCCTAAAAGATACAATTTTTCTGTGACAATAGTGACATGTACCCAAATAATTTTAAAATGTGAAGTCCCAAGTATCTTAGCTATGACTTTGAACTTCTATTGTTTCCTAGTAATAAAGCAGATAGAGTGGTTATATGGTCATTAAGTTGGAGACCAGCCTATGATGATGCCACCTGTTTGAATAAACATTATCAAATTTCCTCTGCTTTGCCTTTCAGGAATATAATGATCCAGAAACATGATGGCATCACCGTGGCAGTGCACAAAATGGCATCTTGACCTCTCAGACCTAGTCTCCAAACAATTGTAGAACTCAAACCAATCCTTTCATCTCATTTCTCTTATCCTGCTCCATGTTTAAGTGCCAGTACTTAGGCCAGCCATTAAATGTAATACTTGCTTCTTTCTTGTTTATTATTTTAAAGTTGCCTTTGGCAAGCACGTAGTGAGAAAAAGTAATAAGGTTTTAAGGCACCTGTCAAAATCAAGTTCTTCTGTTTCGCTGGACTTTGGGTATGGTCAATAAATATAGCTGGAGAAAAGCACTGAGCTTTTCCTAGATTGTATAAGATGTTTGTATCACACAACCTATATAGCATAAGATCAAAATTTTCTTTTAAAAGGCCTATGATCCCAACTACATACCTTTTCAAATTTTCCTAAAGCCCCTGTCTCAGAGTGGTGTCTGATAGTGGGGGTGTGATGGCTAATTAATCTTAATTTCTCTAGCAAAGGACACTTAGCATAGGAAAAAATGGGAGAGGTAGTAGGAAAATACTTTTATGTTTAGTTTTCTGTTAAAATAATTAACTTTCTGAAAGTAAGGAATGCATCCTCTCTAAGTTATATGTATAATATGCATAACCATGTATAAGCAGGCAAGCAGATATTTGATCTCCTGCAAGTGAAATATGATCCTTGTTGGCCTACATCAAAAGCAGCTATCACAAGTATTAGGAAAAAATTGTAATTTTATAGTAAGAGAAAATATTTATCTAATACACTTTCATGCAATAAATATTTATTGAATGCCTATTTGCAGTTTTTTAGGAAGTCCTTCCATGTATCTAGCCAAAATTTGCCCTTCTCCATTTTCCAATCCATCCATGCTAGGGCTGTCCTCTGAAGGTGATTTGTATAAGACACATCTTCAGACATTTGAAGATGGCTTCAAGTCTTCCAAGCATGCCTCAGAACATTCTGAATCTTCACCTCATTTGCCTTCTGGAAGCGCTCCATTTCTGTCGGTGTGTCTCCTGAATTGTGACCCTCAGAAGCAAATGTCACCTCCCAGTTCTTGGTGTAGTCTAGCCAGTACAGACACTACTACTGCTAATATAGCCTCAGACTACACAGGACAGGAATGCCACACCTGTTGATCAATACTGAGCTATTGTTTGTAGCCCTATCATTCCTATGCTGTCCTTTGGTGATTAGATTTTTCTAATCTAGGTGAAGGATTTCACATTTATTCTTAGTAAATGCCAGCATGTTCTATTCAGCCCATCATTCCAGCTTATTGAGATATTTCTAGATCTTGTTGTCTTAGCATGGAGTGTGGTGAAAAAAAAATTTGGAGTCAGGAAACATGAGCTAATGTCCCCATCTTAATCACTTAACTTACAAGCATTACCTACTTCACAGGGTTGTTATAAGGGACATTTTTTTAAGGTGTTAAAGAAATGTGCCTTTAACATTTGTGTGCCTATGTTAGAAGCAATTGGAAATACTTCAAAGGATCTGAGCTTTTGTCAAGGTGGGTAGTGGTGACATTGATATCCTGCTGTAGTCCTGCCACCATAAAGGTTTCATAACCATGACCAGCTTGATTATGAGCTTGTCTACACTTAAATCTAATAACACTAGGACCATAATCTTAAGCCTTTATAGTTCTTGCCAGAACTTTTATTCTGCCAGTTGCATCTTCAAGAATTCAAGGTCATCTCCACACTATGATTGGGTATTGAAGTTCCATTTGACTGGGACTGCCAAAAAAAAAAAATGCCCATCCATGCCCAAGGATCAAAAATCCTATAAAGGGAAGAAGGGCAAGTAATTAGGATGCAGTGTAGAGTATGAAGGAGGTAAGGAAGGGATCCATAAAAAGGGAGGGACAACACTGATTAGGAAAAGGTTTTTGGAGGTGGCACCTGAACTGAGTCTTGGAAGATAAGTTTTTGATGGGGACAGTGCATTTTGGGCATGGATGGGTTGCATGAACTATATAGAGGATGACTGAAGTTCAGGGGTGGGAGAGGAAGTCTGGGACCCTACCTTGACTACAGCACAGAATGCATCAAGGGAGTGTGGTAAAAGAAGGCTAGTGAGGCAGGTGGAGAGACAGCCTTATGATGGAATCTGCATCCCATCTGGAAGGTAGGAGAAAAAGATGGATTGTTTTTGAGTGATTGGTCACTTTGTTAGAGGATGGCTGGAAGGAGGGTGGAGGGCAGGGAGCCTGCAGTAAGAAAAGCTAGTTAGGCTATTTCATTCCATGTAAGAGACACATACTAAAGTAGAGGCAGAGTGAGTGGAGAGTGGGGTGATGGGGGATGCAAGAATCAGCCAGACTTTGATAGGACATCTTTCAAGTATGGGCAATGGGAAGGATGATGGTGCCATTAACAAAAATGGGGTGGGCAGGTTCATTAATAAAGATGACTTCAGTTTTGGACATAATTAGGGTTGAGGCAGGTCATCTGTAGAAATGCTCAAACGGCATTAATTGAAGATAAGGGGCTAATTCCAGGGCAAAAATTGGACCAGGTGTATATATTGGGGAGTTACCTGCACAGAGCTGACAATCCAGAATGGTAAGATAATTCAGAATACTAGACGTGGGAAAGAATGAAGCACCTAATGGGCCCTAATGGCTGTGGCACTATAGTAGGTGTTAGTCACACTTAAGGGACAGGATGATGGGTCTACCAAGGAATACAGTCTGTTACTGGAGGAAAACCAGGAAAGCAGTGTCCCAGAAGCCAAGGGGAAAAGATAATAAAAGAGCCCGGAGTGGGCAATGTAGAATTCAGAATTGGAGGCGATCACATCCTAAACCTCATCATCACCCAATGATTGGCTGGAAGGAAGTTGTAAGAGTGTGTGTGAGTAGGAGAACTGATGGAATTTGAAGGCCAGGGTAATTGGTAATCAACGTGAATACTGAAGGTCCCAACAATAACAGGAATAAAAATGGACAAAAAAATCTCATCCATCTGTTCAAGTAAATTAAGAAAGGGAATAACCTGGAGGTCAGGGTGAAGTTAACAGGACCTTATCAATTTCAAGAGGCACGTCTGGTATAGCAGTGGAGGAAGAATAAGTATGCTGATTCCTGGTCCGAGGAGGGAAGGAGAGAGTGAAAGTGATAAAGCATTCCCATTGGAAAAGATAGCCAGGGACTTTCAGGAGAAATCCAGAAGACAGACGTTTAGGAGACAAAGAATGAAAGGGTGGTGTTTACAACAGAAGAGGGTTTGTGGACCTTGAAGGAGCGCTGGGGCTAGGGCAGGATAGGTCTGAGCCGACGATGAGTGCTAAGGGGCCACTGGGGAAAGGATATTTGCTCGGATCAAATGACAGACCTTGCCCCGCCCTTCAGGAAGTAAAGTCCGTTGGGAACCAAGCCTGGTTTTGCTCAGTCTGCTCTTTTTTCAGGCTCTTATAAATGCTCACTTGTACTACGTTTCACAGCATGCTGAAGCAAGGAGCCGCTGAAAAGGAGTAAAAATCCACGACATGGTATAATTTGCTTTTCTTCTTAAACTGCCTTACTTGATGAGGCTTTCTTTCCCGAGTTTCACATCGAAAGGTAAGATGGAAATGGAATTTTGTGCTTCATTTGACTAATAGCGGGGATACACTCCTCCCCCAATACCAGCCTATCCCCTTCCCCCATCACAGTCCACCAATTTAGGCATTTGGTGATGGCATGCTGCCCTAGAACTGGGTCTGTTCTGACTACCACCACTTACTCTGATCTGTGGGGAACTAATCAACTAATCTTTGCCAATGCAGTGTGTTAACTAGGCCATATTCTAACATTATCTTTAATTGATGAGTGGCTTTCTGGAGATGCCTTAAGGCACCTCAGTCTTTTTGGAGGTTGGGAGAGGGCCACCTATTAGACTTTATTAAGGATATGCGTGAGAAGAGGGAACCTATAATTCGTCATCTTTGTAAGCACTTCCACACAATAGGTGCTAATTGTTTATTGAATTAAAGTATCTCCCAAACTATTAACATCATGAAGTAAAAGGGAATTGGTTTGGCCAAACCCCACGGGTGACTGGGGTGAAAATGATCCTGTGTCAGAGGACTATGCTCTCCATTCAACCAAGACAGGGATTATCAGGGATCCATCCCCTCAAATAAGTGAGAACTTGAAGAATACCCCAAGTTAATAGGTCAAGGATTTTCCAGATAGGTTTTTAGTACCCCTTTGATTGCACAATTTGAGTGATCCTTATCTCTATCTGACCCACAAACAGATCTTAAGTGGTGAAGGTCAGATGAGCAGGGAGAGCATAATTCTCAGGGGCCATCACAAGAAAGTCAATTTTGTTTAAAAAAAAAAAAGGGTAAACAAAACAACAGAAAATTCTCAAACATGTATAATGTAGACAGAACAGGATTTCTTAGGGTGAGGTCACAGAACCTATGCTATAAGCTCAGAAATTAAAGGGAGCCAGGAAAAGAGAAAGGTAGTGGGATTTTTTTAAATTAGTAGACTGCAGAGTACCACTAAAATGAATGGGATTTAAAAGCTTACTTGAGTCCAGTAGAGGCTTAAACGACTAACTAGTGAATGGGCACTTTCTTGCAGGATTGTCTTAGGAGTGAGAGAGAAGTGGAACCAGTTGTCATGCTGAAGGGGACAAAGTCACATCCTTATACTGAACCCCTTGATGGAGGATGGGGATGGATGATAGTGTTTCATTTCTTCCTGGTAAAAGTTTATGAGATTATACTTTCTCCTTCCTACCAGAATATCCAAACTACTATCCACTGCTTTACTCTAGCTTCCTGGCAGTTGGGACATGGGGATGTCACACAGTGAGTAGGGCTGGTCCTTTTCTGGGAACAACATAAGGGATGCTGCCAAGATATTGATGGAAAAATGACTTCTGTGGCTAATGCCCACACTTGCCTCCCTTCCACAAGTATGCAAGTAAGAGAGACACTGGCACAGGACATGCCCACATCAGAGAAGGCACTGTGCTCTATGAGCAAAGCGTAATTGTAGTAACTCAAAAAGAAATGTGAAATGCGCCCACTTAGAGACATCTCCATTCCAAATGTTCAAATGAATTATTTGTGCCCAACCTGTGGTAGATAGAGCTTTCTAAGCTCATATTAGTCTGATCGGCCACAGCTGGATACACTACCTTGACCCCAACACAGTGATGTCATTTTGGTCCTCTTCAAGAAGGAAGGACAACAGACTAACCATGCAGGATAGCAGCACCCATCATTATGGAAAGGGGCAAAGAGTAGCTGAATTCTCCTGCTTAATGAGGTGGGTTAAGATTCATTGTCAACATACAAGTATTTGTAACTTTCTTAATTTAAAAAAAAAAAAACCTACTAGGACACCGACCTTTCCCCACCCTGAGCTGTCCCATGGTTAAAAAGTAACTGGACCTCACACTCATTTTTCCCTCAAGGAGCTTTGTGAGGGGAGAAAAAAAGGTGCAGGGGGAGGGGCCCAAGTTGACCCATGGGACAGTGGAGAGAGGCAGACATGAGCAGCCTTGTTTGTGAGATCCCACCTCCCCATCGCCCATTCCTAGAATTGTGGCAATTCTATATTCTCTGTATCTGTATTGTAGTCTGTACAGCCATAAACAAGTGTAGCTTTACTGCCATTCTTAACAGCAGCAACCCTTCATCGTGTACACTACTTGTCTGTGTGATGGTGTTGGTAGTGGGAAAGGGAAGGGAGGCTCTGCATAATTTCCATCTGGCTTTAGGAAACAGTCAGAAAATAAAATAATGCTCAGGTCCTCTTGGTGACCCTTTCTCAGTTCAGGCCAATAGTGAGCAGACCATGTGTCTTGTTGTTCAGTTGTGTCTGACTCTTCATGACCCCATCTGGGGTTTTCTTGGCAAAGATAGTGGAGCGGTTTTGCCATTTCCTTCTCTACCTCATTTTACAGATGGGAAAACTGAGGCAAATGGGGTTAAGTGACTTGCCCAGGGTCACACAGCTAGTAAGTGTCTGAGGCCAGATTTGAACTCAGAAAGATGAGTCTTTTTTTTTTTTAATTTTAGGCAATTGAGGTTAAGTGACTTGCCCAGGGTCACAAGTGCGGCTCTTTGACTGAAACCAAAGCTAGTAAGTGTCAAGTGTTTCCGTCTGAGGCCAGATTTGAGCTCAGCTCCTCCTGACTTCAGGGCCGGTGTTCTATCCACTGCACCACCTAGCTGCTCCAGAAAGATGAGTCTTAACCAAGCCCAGTGATCTATCCACTTGGAATGTGTCTAGGAAGTGAAAAAATATCCATGGTGGATACCAGAATTTTACTATACAAGGTAATCACCAGCTAGGTATCATATATTTCTTTAAGGTTAGAGGGAAAGGAAATGGCCTCAGGTATTCCTTGGGTGGGGTCCTCACTCAAAATGTGCACTTACTAGGTACCTACTCTAAGAACCAGCATTGTGCTAGCTCCTGGGAATATTAAAGCGAGCCAGTTTTAGTACCTATATTCTACTGGGGAGAACATGTCCAGAAATACAGGAGACACGCTAAATAAATCTACAGTGATGTGGTAGAGACATACAAAATAAACATGCAGGAGATTCACAAATAATATACAGTGATGAGGGTAGGGACACCATAACCTTGGGGTCCCAGGAAAGGCACTTTGGAGAAGGTAGCACTCAAGCTGAAGACAGGAGAGAATGAGGATGGCGAGCAATCCAGGCATAGGGAACAGCCTGTGCAAATGCATGGAAGCTGGAGATGTTGTCCATGAGAATGGAAAAGGTCACTTTGGCTAGATTCGGGGGTGGGGAACCTGGGGCCTCAAGGCCACACGTGGCCCTCAAGTGCGGCCCTTTGACTGAAACCAAACTTCACAGAACAAATCCCACTTGGACCTAGTCAAAAGGCCACACCCAAGGACCTAGAAGGCCACAATGTAGCATACAGTCAGTGTATGAAGCAAAGTAACATATAATCAGCCTGGATAAGTAGCCTGGAGCCAGACTGCCAAGGACTGTTTGTCCTAGGGACAAACCAAGGTTTTTGTGTGTCATCCTAAAAGCTATGAAAAGCTTCCTGAGCTGGGGAGTGTCATGGTCAAACCCGAACTGGCAGCTGGAGGGAGGCAAGCCTTACTGGAGAGGGGAAAGACTCGGAGGCAACAATTGGGAGGCTATTGCTATATAGTCCAGGAAGGAGAAGGTAGTGAGTGCTTGGACCAATTTCAGAGTAAGATGCAGGGGAACCAAAAAAGACTAAATGTCAACTGCCCTTAGAACAAACCACGTGCCAAATGCTGATTTCACTCATTTTCCTCTCTGGTAGAAATACATATATTTTTTTCAACATGAGATGCTACGATTTAGCGTCATAAATTGCATGATTCTAACTAAAAAAACTTGATAATTTTTTTTCCCTTTTCCTTGCCACCTTGAAGTCAGGCTTAAAATCAACCTACTTGGAAAAAAAATACTTCCCAGGAAAATTTCTCCAAAGGCATATTATTGTTTGTGACAGTAAAATCACTTTCATGCTGCCAAGAGTCTCAGATTATGGTAAGGACACCAGTCTGGGGTCTCTCCAGCTTGAGAACCAGACAGGGAATCAATGTGTCAAAAAACACAGATCATGGGGGCAGCTAGGTGGTGCAGTGGATAGAGTGCTGGCCCTGAAGTCAGCAGGACCTGAGTTCAAATCCAGCCTCAGACCAAACATTTGACACTTACTAGCTGTGTGATCCTGGGCAAGTCACTTAACCCCAACTGCCTAAAAAGCAAAAAACAAAACAAAAAAAACACAGATCATGCCACTGGAAATGATGAGATGTGTCACAGCTGCCAACATCCAAAGAGAACTGGCTTACTGTTGTGTCCCCCGATGAGTTTTTCCAAAATGGAAGGATTGTCCTCAGCAGCTGTTCCACTTGGTGCTTACCTAAGTGAACCGCCACAGAACAGGGAGCGAAATGAAACTGAGAACCATGGCTGTAAGACTGCCGGGCTGCGCGTAAAGTCTCACCACAGAAAAAGCTGTTAGGTCCAAGCACAGGGACTTTTGGAAGCACGTGGGGAATGCTCAATTAGCTATCCTATAAATCGCCAGCAGGAGAAACAAAAAAATACGAGCAGGTGCCCACATGATTGGACCAAAACTTTGAACAAGAAAAGAGAGGGTGGCCTCCTCAAAGCTGGACATCCACAGGGAAACTTTTTAGAAATAGGTGGGCCCTAACAAGCCATAATATGGCATTATCTTAACATTGGAGTAAAAAAGGTATTTTTGGTTCACGGAGTATCTTCACATCATTTGACACTAATGATTTCCCAAAAGCAAGCTGGCCCACTCCCTTTCTCTTCCAGTTCTAGAACCAGCTCATCCATCTGTAGCATCTCTCTAAAACTGCTGTACGGATAGCTCAGCTTTATAGGTGAAATCTATCCAAGAGTGCATATTATGATCTGGCCAAGAGGCATTCTTCATGGACTTGAGGCTCAAAAAATAAAGAAAAACCTGTGTTAGAGATGTATATCCGAGTCACTTATATAGAGGTGTTAGTTTGAACTATGGAAGTGAATGAGATTGCCCTAAGAAAGCGCTAAGGCCAAAACTATGGGGAAGGACCACTTTAAAAGAGTGGGTCTAACTGTAAATTGGAGGTTGGAAAGACCATACTTGGAGCTTCTCTTTTTAAAAGGATTCTGAGAAAGGAACGGGAAGGTGACCCTAAGCTCTAGAATTCTGTGGTTCTAGAGCTGCTTTATGGGGCAGGTGGTCAAGTGCTTCTTCTTAGGATCGTTATCAGAATTTTAACTTGGCATTACAAGGCCTCCATAACGTAGTCCCAACTTACTTTACTCCTTTCCCCAACACGTTTCATCCTATTCACTTTCACATTTTGAATCGCAGCCAAATTGTACTGCTGATTTTGATCTCATTCAATCTTTACCGTTTCCTTTCAAGGCTCAGCTTGTCATGTCGTCCATGGAGTCTTTCATAATTCTACTCCAGCTAAAATAACCTCAGTCTTCATTCTAGATTGTATCAGTTTATTGATACACAGTTCATATCCTGACTATTACAGTGTGAGCTCTTTTCAGACAGACTGTTGTTTTCATCTTCTAGGTACTTAAGCAAGTCATCTTAAAAACCAAGGGAGGTAAAAATATCAAGAAAGGGGGTGTTCTAGTATCAGATACTGCAAAGATGTCAAGGAGGGCTTAAAGAAAGGCTATCAGATGTGATAATTAGGAGTCATTAGTGACCCTTAAGAGTTGTTTCAGTAAAGTGATAGTGATGGAAGCGATGTTTCTAGAGATGGTAAGGAAGTAGAAGCAATCAAATCAGGTCTTTTTGTTAAAAAAAAAATGGCATTAAAGGGGGAAGAAAGATTGGTTGCTAGCTGTAAAGAATAGAAGGGTCAAAAGAAGGTATTCAGTTTGAGGAGGTCTAAATCTGTTTATTGGCACATGAACAGATCTATTGGAGAGGGAGATAATTACTGGAGCCATGACTTGGAGGAAGGGGGAGAAAATGGGTTCAAGGGCACAGGTAAGGTAATTCAACCCATTCTTTTGGGGCACAGTTTTGAGACTCCTCACACTCCCTTGCACCCACTCCAGTTTGTCAATGTCCTTCCCTAAAACGTGGCACCTAAAATTTGAATCCTTGGCCACAGGTAAGGAAACACTTCCTCCTCAGAGTTGGGAGGGAAGGACAACAGAATTGACAAAGATCTTCAGGGAGCTCTTGTCAGGGTCCTCTATTTCATAGAAACTTAAAATCTCAAGAATTCAAAGCTACTTCAGAGGCCACCTAACCCGACTCATACCTGAACAAGATGCTCCTCTGCTCCATTAGACAAGAGACCGAAGTCGTCCGCTATAAATATGAGGAACAGGTATGCATGTGGTTTGAAGTTCTGAGGACAGAGGAAAAGGTCAGATGCAAGAAGTCACTTTAGGGAAGGAGATCTTTAAATATTATAAGAGAATGCTCATGTCCCCAAGTCTTCTCTTCTCAAAGAGAAACATCCCCAGCTTTTTCCACCCATCCTCTTCTGACATATCCTGCCCTCTCCTGATGGTGCTTCAAAGATGAAAAGCAATTAATCATGGCAAGCTCTTTCAGTACCTGTGGATGTAAGTCATTCAAGCCAAATGACCTGACTTCACCGAGGACAGTGAGGATTTCAGTTTCCTGCTAAACCCTTTTGTTTTATCCTTACTTCACTTAAGATCACTCTCTTTGGTGGAGGAAACAGAAACACAATAAATGGGTCCCTACAGAACAGGATCATGGACAGGCAATACCTTACTACCAAGGCTTATAAACATCTAAGCTAAACCACACGAACATTCACCAAAAAATATCTCAAACAGGCCGAGGGTAGTTGCTCCCTGACAGAAAGATTCCCCCAGTATTATTTTCTCCTGCCTCCCAACTTTCTTTTCTAGGAAATGTTGTCAGCTCTCCTCTGGGTCAGTTACACAAGGTGCTGGTAGATGTCAAAGAAGTCTGTTCTCAATGACCCTGATGTGGAGAGAACGGGAATGAATAACCCCTTCTTTGTCAATATAAGACTATCTTAGTTATTTGATGGGATGAGAATCCTTGTTTGTCAGCATATCCCTATGACCTTCTCAGGAATATATAATTGCCTATAGTTTTACTAGATTAATGCCAAGAGTACTGAGTCCAAGTGTCCAGTGAAGACATACCAGCCAGTAAGAGATAAGATATCAGAGTGATCTGGTGAGAGAGATTTTAGCTCTAAGGTGTTTCCAGGGGATAGGGGAGATGGTGAAGGTGGTGGGGAGAACACAAAAGACTGTTCTTGGGCAGCTAGGTGGTGCAGTAGATACAGCACCGATCCTGGAGTCAGGAGGACCTGAATTCAAATCCAGCCTCAGACACATAACACTTACTAGCTGTGTGACCCTGGGCAAGTCACTTAACCACATTGCCAAGAAAAAAAAAAGACCGTTCTTAAAACTTGAGGGATGTGGCAATAAGAAGTGTAAATTGGCAGGTCTGCTGTAGTTTTCTAATGTGGGCCTTAATGAGGGGAATAGCATTGGGCACATAATGAGGAAAACACACGGTACTGAAATTTGTGCCAGGGACCTAGCTTGTGTAGCTAAGGTGAGGAAAGCTCTAACTTTTAGCACCTAGGGAAATAAATCTTTCGTTCCTTTTAAGGTATGACAATATAATACTAAGCATCATAAGATCAGCGCACTATAGGTGGGGGAAAAACTGACCCAGACCCGTTTGATGAGCCAGCAGTCTACAGAAAGGGTATACAAGCAGTCCCCTCCAGTGAAGCAAAGTCATCTCCAACCATGAATACTTCAGCAAAATTTCTGATATCCAGAACAACAGAAAGCATCTGGAAATAGGTGTGGTGATCTATTTCTCAAAAATCTAAAACTCTGGAAATAATCCCTTTCCCCTGCCCCCCCCCCCCCCCCCCCCAGCCCAGGACAGTAACACCTCTTTCCCTCCCTTTCCCTTAATCCCACCAAATCTGTTCTTTGTTCTCGCCATTCCCAATACCCTCCCAGTCCATCAACCCCGTCCTGTCCTACCCTACCCTGCTCTCCTTGCCCACAGCTGACCCATCTGCCACTTCTATGTTGTCTGATCGTCCACCATTGCTTCCTGACTATCATTCTCACCATGATAACCTTCTAACAACCCTGGGAAAAGCTGCCATCTCCTTCCTCTGGAGGAGCCAAACGTCACTGGGCCCAGTCACTAAGCCCGAGGTGACTGGGTCCACCAAACGTGGTGCTCACTGCAGCCGAGCAACTCCTAACCATCACGTTCCCCCAGGCTGCTGTTCCATGTCACCCTCAAGCCCTAGTGCCATCCCTTCCCTACCGCTCCTTCACCCATGAAATCACTACATAATCACTTCTTCCCAAGACTCAACTTAGGTATGCCTCCTCCATCAATACGTCCCTGATCTCCCAACACAAAGGGATCTCACCTCTGCAAAATTCTTACTGCACTCTGAAGCTCTTGTTTGTATTTATTTGACATACACATATATATTCCTTATGCCCCTTGTAAGCTGTTTGAGGACAGGGACAATGTTATTTTTCATCTTTGTGTTCCTAGAGCCTGGTACAGGGCCTTGCATACAGCCACTGCTTAATAAAAAAGTCACTGAAGGGGTAGGAGAATAAACTGGGGAGGGAGGGAATCTATCTCTGTAATAAATCATTTCCATATACTACCTTATAGTTTACAAAGCACTTTACTCTGAGATAGCTAGTATAATTATTATCTTAGAGGGGCAGGACATCATAGTGGACAGAGTGCTAGACTTGAAGTCAGGAAGCCTCGGATACTCTAATACTGATAGCTCTGTAACTAAATGCAAATTACTTAACTGCTTTGTGCCTCAGTTTCCTCATTTGTAAAAGAGGTATTAGACCTGCAGTGCCTACCTCACAGGGCTATTGTAAGGACCAAACAAAGTAAAGCAGTCTACGTGGGTTTTTGCTAATTTTATATATCGGTAAGCAGACTCAGAGGAGTTTAAATATACCTTCCTGGCCATCTATAGTCTTGCCTCTGTCTGACCACTACACGTGTCCACAATGTGACTTGAACAGAGGGGAAGGGGAGAGGGAGAAAATACATTCTTTTGAAGAGCAAGACGGCAGAAGAAGGGAGTGATCAGTATTCTACTCCATGTCAAGAATTTTCCATGTGGCATCCTTCTTAAAGACACTGGGGAAACAGATGAGGGATACAAGGCGCTTAGCAGGGCCACCTATCCAGTAGCTGAGGAACTCTTGGATCAGAGGGAAGGAGAGATTGTCATCTGGCCTGCAAGAAGTAAATACATCCCTCATCTGACAGTGGAAGGTTTCCTAAAGGTACTGTCATAGATTTAGAGCGATGATGATTTACTTTCTGTTCTACAGTTATTTTTCTAGTCTGTTCTTTATGTGGACATGTCTAAAACATAAACAAATGCGGTCTACCCCTCAAAGTGCAGAATGAACGGAGAAACAAAGCCTACCCAACTTTTTGCATAGTGAGACTGAAACCTTCACATGTATGCCATCATGGCCAGTCTCCAGTCAGTACAGAAAACAAGGTAATGTAGATGTATAACATGGCGGGTTAATAAGATACATTCCCTTCCCCACTCACGTCTCAGAGTTCAGTGATTATCCAAGAATTCAAAGATAAAGCCAGAATGAAGTCAGTCTGAGCACGTTGTTCAGTAGCTGATACAATCCTAGAGGGTCCATCAGTCTCTAATTAGCTCAGCAGACACAAGCCTGCTAGGGAAGAAATGTTGAAACATCACTGGAAAGGGAGCCCTTCACTAGGTAACAATTTGGGCTATGGATCAACATAATCTTTGGGCTAAATACCTTTCTTTCTTAAAAGATAATTGGAAAGGGATTCCTTGTCTTAGGACCAAACAGGATGGAAAATTAATGCCTAGGTTAATTCAAACTCAAGAGACCCAGGACAGAACCTACCATATAATTTATAAGCAGGAATCAGTCCTCAAAATGCCCCAGACCCAGAGCTGGAAGGGATCTCCAAGAAAACGCAGTACAGCCCTCTCATTTCACAGTCACAGAGAGGCCTTTGCCCCAGGACACACAGCTAGTCATCGGCAGCCCCTCTGACGCTTTATCCCTGCACGGTATAGCTTCTCACCAAGGCAGAAAATGGATTTAATGATGGAGAACAACCTGAGAGCTGGAACCTCTAAAGGTAACAGCCTGAGCTGTCGGGTTGTTGGAGCTGGAAGGCAAATATGAGCTCTAAACCTAATTCCTGACTCTACACATACGGAAACTGAGGCCCGGGGAGCTTAGTTTGAAGACTGAATGCTCTTTTCCTTCTGCACACTTCTGTTCTCCCCGAGTTTTCTTTAGGATAAAGAACCTATGGTGTTTTTTCAACACACCAGCTTCTTTGACTGCTGCCTCTCAGATGACACAGTTCTGAGTCACCTCATGACCGCTGTTGCCCTCCTCTGGGGACTGCGCAATAGGCCAGCCACTGACCTGAACTATCTGGCCTGCTTTGATTTAGGTAAACATGCTTCTAATGGGACTGACCAAAACCTTTGCGATTTTCTTCGTGGTTTTTCAAGAAGAATTCGGTGGCACTTCAGAACAGATTGGCTGGATTGGATCTTTGTTGTCTTCGTTCCGCTTCATTGCAGGTATTAGACCAGCAGACAACTCCATGCCTGTTTCAAACGGTAGACGCCCCAGCCAGGCAATGCTGAAGGAAGACATTGGCAAAGGTGCCTTTAACCTTGGAAACCTTTACCAAAATTCACACTGACCTGTAAACATCTTATCCTTTCAAGTTGAGTCTTCACCTACATGCCATTGAGTGCCAAATATCAGTGCAGACCCAAATTCCAGAACTACTGATTATGTCCCTGGGTGACATGTATCTTTCCCAAACCTGGCAAATCAGGGAGAATTAGCATGGTTTGGTGGGCTAAATGACTATCTGGTCAAGTATTCAAAGTTTAGCTCCATAATATACCATATTAAGCGACGTGGTGTTTTTTCAACACACCAGCTTCTTTGACTACTGCCTCTCAGATGACACAGTTCTGAGTCACCTCATGACCACTGTTGCCCTCCTCTGGGGACTGCGCAATAGGCCAGCCACTGACCTGAACTATCTGGCCTGCTTTGAAATTAAATGGGCCTACCATATAAGCGACCACCCTCCCCTATCTATCACTCACCACTTTGATCCCAAGAGATGGAATGGATGCTATAATACAGCAAACAACAGACTCAAACTTGTCTGCACAAGTACAGGACTGATGCTCTAAAACGAATTTTCACTACATTAGTCATTCCAAGTTCACTAGAATCTAACATGACATGAATACCCCTCAGAGGAAAAGAGACAGGGCAGAAAATGCTGTTGACTTTCTATTAATAAAAACATGGCTTAAAGGGCTGATCTAGCTAGGCTTTTGCTTCGAGCCACTAGCAATTTATCTTTTATCCCCAATATTCTGAGACCCTCAACTTCTCCTTTGCCAAAAAGAAACCCCCCCCCCCAAAAAAAACCCAACCCCTCACTGACCCTCTGGAATCCTCATTTCTCTCAGGCTGTTGTCTCCTCTCCCTTTTGCCTCTCCTTAAATACATACTCAACACATAATGCTTGACAAATTGTTAGAATGCTTAATCTAAATCCCCTCTCCTACACACTCTCTTATTCAATTACTTCTCTTATCTCTCACTGTTCCTTTTAGGGTCTCCTAACACCTTCATTAAGCCCACTCCCCCCAGTCGTACTCCCAGTGGAGCTCCAAAATTCATTTGCTCCTAATTAACCCTCCTTTTGGTCTCTTCATTCTGGAACACGACAGGGTGGCAAGGATTTGGGGACCATCAGACAACCCAATGCAGTTGAACGTGACGGGCCTTAAATTTTCCTTCAAACCTTTCTTCATCTTAGGAATCACAAAATAATAATGGTGCTGGGCACTCTTCTTCCTCATTTGTGCTACAAAGTTTAACATCCATCGTCGTAGTTTCTAGAACAACCTCTTTTTCACGTCTCATTCATTCCCTTCTCCCCAGCTCCTCTGGCTGCCACGTTCTGTGAAAAGATAGGAGAGCAGTTGACGTCCATTCTCGGGGCCCTCCTTATCTGCACTGGATACTTGATCAGCAGCTTGGCCACAAGCATCTCCTTCCTCTGTGTATCTATGGGGCTTCTACCAGGTGAGTCCAAGCCTATCTCAGCTGCTGATATCAGCCGCTCGCTTTTGTCGTACATTGATTCGGTTATATTCCTTCTTCTCAGGAGGGCCATTTACCCCATGTCATCTTTTACATGTTTATTGAATCCCCACACCTCTCAATGGAAGCAAAAGTGATTCCAAGTTCTTGCTCTTTCTTTTTTTAGGTCTGGGCTCTGCTTGCTTATACCATGCAGCTGCTGTGATGACTGCTAAATATTTCAAAAAACGACTGGCTCTTTCAACTGCTGTTGCTCGTTCAGGGATGGGGCTGACATTTCTGCTGGCACCTCTCACAAAAATCTTGATAGATGAATATGACTGGCCGGGTGAGTCACCCTGACAATGGCTCTACTGCCATTTTAAACTCTGCTAGACTCGGGAATGCATTTTTAAAAATACATTCCTTTCTCCCTTGGTAACTTAATGGCTGGATGCTGTGGCAACCACTTTAATGGGAAATGAGTAGAAGCAGGAAGACCCTTAATTTCCTACTCCCTAGAGATGGACTCTCTAGAGGGATAGGTCTCTAAATATCTACAGTGCTTACCAGCAGGCATCAGACAGAAGCTTTGAGAGCTCATTCCCAATCTCTTATTAACTAGCAGGGTTCAGTCACCAGGGAGAAACACTCTGTGTAACTTGGAAATGTACAACTGTGAAAATGACCAAGTGAAAAATTACATCTCACCAGTTTCCAATATTTTTTCCTTTAAGATTAGCAAATAATGAAGGAAAAAGAAAAACGGATTCTAAGCTTAATGTCAGTAAACAAACATTTTAGCTATTACTACTCACAAATTTTATAAATGGAAGAAAAAGCGGATAAAAATCAACTCTTGATACACAAACACCCCCTCATAACCCTAGAAAAGAAAGGAGGCAGAGGTCCCCCTTTCTTGGGGGGAAAGGGGGGAGCGGAGGTAGAATACAGTACAGGATGTCACCAGTGCTGTCAGTGCAGGGTCTGTGTACTCTGGTTTTGCTTAACTGTTTTTCGTTGTTACAAGGGAAAACTAATGGGGACTTTGCTGGTAAAAAAACAAGGTATCCATCAAACTGAAATACACAGAGGACCTGGGTCCACAGGCCCAGCTCTGCAAAAGACCTTTATTAGTGATGCGACAACATTCAGTAATCATTCTCCAAAGGAGACGTTAACATCCAAGACAAACCAGTAACATATGACAAAAAACCTACAATAACTGGTTCTCGGTACCTTTTGGAACCACTGTACAAAACTAAGATAAGACTATTTCAGCTCAAAACTTTTAACAATGAAATGTCTACCGAACCTATAACCAAAAGTTAAAACATTAACTGTATTTTTTACTTAGGTACCCTTCTAATATTTGGAGGGATCTCACTAAATTTAGTGCCCTCCAGTATGCTCTTACGACCCATCAGCATCAAAAGGGAAGAGCACATGGCTACCAGAAGTCCAGATGCAGAAAGTCCACTGGAAGTGCCAGCCAGCAATGATGGACAGCCGCCTTCCCATGGAAACTGCTTAGTCAGCAAGGATGAACCAATTGGTCAAGGGACAGCAATCTCAGGAAGCCAAGACAATGATGAAGTGGTCTTCAGCAACAAGCCTCGATTTTACAAGCAGCTCATTGATGCCTCTCTATTTAAGAACCCTTTATTCTACATATTCACCTGGTGCTTTCTATTCGGTCAGCTGGCATATTTCATCCCTACTTTCCATTTGGTAGCAAGAGCTAAAACTCTGGGGATCGACACCATGGATGCCTCCTATTTAATTTCAATGGCTGGTAAGAAAACTGAGTCTTTAATTTATGCTGGTTGTTTTCCAGGCTGTTAGCTTATACTAAAAAGGAAAGATGGGCCTAACTCTGTTAAAGACCAACCTGTCATTTTCTGAAGAAAAAGGCTAACAAAAAAAGAAAGGGGGGAGAGGGGAGACGACAAAAGAATAAAGAAGGGCCTGGAAGAGAGTTCTCAATGTCCTACTTAAGATTTTCTCTAAATACAGATCTCCAGAAACTATGTTATTAAATGATGAGTTCCAGTTAGTCAAGTCAACCACTGTTTATTTGGGGCTTATGTGCCAGGCAATGTGCACAGTTAGCCACTAAGACCCATTTATAAGTAAATATTTTCCTCCCTGAATCATTATACAATTTCTCATTGAATTAGGATAGTCCTATACAGAATTATGGGATTTTGGAGATGGTTAGTCTCAGACATCCTCTTATCCAACCTCCCTCATTCTAGAGAGGAGAAAAGGAAATCCCACTGTTTCAGTGACTTGCCCAAGGCAAGTGAGTTAGTGAAAGTGGGACAAGCAAGACCCCAGGTCTTATGATGTTCAATCCAGTGCCTTTTTCCTTAAACCAACATAATTAAGCCAGCCATAATAAAGACTCGCTTTATTATTGGTCCAAGACAAATCCTTCTTCTATCACTAGCTTTATGATCAGAGGCATGTCACAGCTTCTTTGATCCCATCTCCTCAGCTGTAAGAGGGGGATAATTAGTTGTAGCACCTACCTCAGGTTTGCATGTAAAACACTGCAAACTTTTAATTATTCATTTTATAAATAACTGTATTTCAGTAAATATCAAGTATAACTGATTTGTATTTTTTCCACTTCTCCCTCTCTGGTTATTGTAATCAAATCAATACTGTCATTGCTTTTGAAAAGGTGTACCAATCAGCTCCTCTATGGGGACACTCCTACTAGGCCTGTGAATTCTCAGCCCAAAACACTCTTCCTTAGCTACCACTTCCCTAGGTGTTTTCTTCCCCTATTAGAATATAAGCTTCTTGAGGGCATCTACATTTAGCTTTTGTACCTAAACCCCAACAGTAAGCAGATGCTGGCACATCATAAGAGCTTAATGCCTTTTTCTATTTGTATTTTGTACTAGCATTTATGGAAACTTGCATTGGAACTCACTTTGCTCCAGCAGAACAACTACACTCCTTCAATTAGAACATGAAATGATATGCAGAAATGTATATTGACAGAAGCCATTAGTTAGTATACAGGACTGATCATTCTAATAATCATCTGCAAGGCTGATTCAACAATTGCTTAAGTCACAGGGTATTCAAACATCCATATCCTCCCTCTGCTGGCTGCATCACTATGGTTCTATTTCAAAGTCAAAATGAGATTAATATACTTACACACAGAAAACAAAATACACAAAAAATGGCAGCTGGTTTACTGACCTAGCTGATGTTGCCTGCACTCTGCTTCTCATCTCTTAGCCCTGAGACTTTACCCTTTGCTGGAATCTTTCCTCCCCTGCCTTCTGCTATCTTGAGCTTTCTTCAAGGTTCAGCTCATCTTCTATCTCCCATGAGAAGGAACCTTTTCTTGATGCCCTTAGTTATTACTGCTTTCCTCCTCCTCAGATTATTTTTCACCTTATTATATATGCAAATGTTGCATTTCCTCAGTAGAATGCAAGCTATTTTGAGTACAGGGACTATTTTTTCATATTGTCTTTGTATTCCTAGTGCCTGGCACAGTACTTTGCACAGAGTAGACACTTAACAAATGTTTATTGTTAACTTTTCATATATATTGTAAATTTACACTAGGGCTTTCTCTATACATCTGTGTGAAACAAAAATGGGTTAACTGTAGGAATCCTCCATTACCTATAATTAGTGAAATTGAGATAAAAAGTATGGTCTGGGGCTTTTAAATAACTATGTTTCCTGGATCAAGTAAGTCTTATGATAATTTGTTACATAAATTGTAACTAATACATAAATATATAACTAGAAATATTGTCTACAGTAAAAAACTACATGCCACTTATTTTCTCCATGCACCTCGATTGGAATGTCTTGATTTTACATACGTTCCTAATACGATAACAGATTTCAAGAAGAAAGCTTATGAGGTTCTACTACTCCAGAAAAAAAAATCACAATGAGATTTATGTTCCAGCCTCCCAATCAATGTATAGGAGATCACAGTGAAGGAGCCAGTGTTCTGCAAGACAGCGTACTTCTGGTTTCTTTCCAAGGTCATGCTTAAAACCACTACTGCCAACAGTTGCAATACAACAGGCAACAGCAATGGGTTATCGAAATTTTACATTAGGTCATAAGAAAGAGTCCCAATTTTCCTTTTTAAAAAAACTTTATTAATTGTACTCTAACCACCTTTCCCTCTCCCAACCTCCCGAGCCCAAGAGGACACTGACTTGAAGGTTCTAAGAGATTCCCCAGCGATTTCTGCTTCCTTGACAGAAAGAAAACTGGAGGAAAGAACGTTCTTCTACAGAGAGAATCCCGCTGGGGTGGGAGGGCCAGGGTGAAGGGAGCTACTGGACGTCCCCAGTCTGTTTCAGCTCTTCTCTAGTAGGGCACTCCTGAAGCTCTGCAGCACTGAGTCCTTTAGAGACGATCAGAAGAAACATGACTGAAAAGAGTTCCTTTTAAGGCCTTTCACTGGGTGTATATTTAAGTGAAAGCCAGATCCAAATGGCAGAACACATAAAGCTAATTTGTTCTCCCTGGTTCCCTTCCCAGGGAGCTGTTACTCACACTACTCACCTGGCCTAAAGACTGAGTCATATGATACACGCAAAGACATTGCGTGCAGTCACTCACTTCAAGGAGACGAGGAAATCAGGCCCAGGCTTTCATGTGGATCTTTTCCCATGTCTCTCCAGGTATCACAGAGACACTCATGCAGCTACTGTCTGGATGGGTTGCTGACCAAAACTGGATCAAGAACTATCACTACTACAAGGCTTACCTCGTCCTCTGTGGCATCACTAACCTGCTCGGTCCTTTAGCCACCACATTTCCTCTACTCATGACCTACTCCATCTTCTTTGCCATTTTCTGTGGCTGTTATTTGGCACTGGTGCTCCCTGTAATGGTGAGTAGACACGCTCATTAAAACTATTAGAAGAGAAACATCAAGGAAAAGCAACGTTTTATTGTGATCTCCCTAAACAGACTCAAATTAGAAATTAATCTGGTGGCCAGAGAAAGCTGTCCTGGGGCCTGTGATGGCTAAGCAGACCCCAGTCAATGATCTGTCCAGTCATCCATCTTGGGAGAGAATTATTCTACCCACAAAGCAAGGAAGAGATTGAAGAGAGCAAGGAAACTCAGGAGGAGCCTCAAATCTGTTCTTTTTATCACCATAGATAACACCTTACATCCACTCTGCCCCATGGCTGCACAGCTGTGTTCGCTTCCTCACACGGTGCAAAAATAGAGATTTATTCATGGGTTAGAAGGGGGTGTTACCTGACCTTGTGTGTCAGTTTTCTAGTTTGAGGCAGGAAGCCCTGAACATCACTGCCCATATGCCATGGATTCAATATGGAATCAGGTGAGAGCTTCCCAAGGGATTTACCTTCTCCAGTATCATGAGCAAGGGCTTCTTCTCTCTATGGGAGCAGGCTCTCTATAGCTAAGTTTTGACCTTACTAATCAGGACAAACTTAAAGAATCCCACAAACACAAGAATGGCCTCACCACTGCCACCAGGAGGCTCTAAGAACTCCACAGCCACAGCTTCCTACTTAAGGGATGCAAGGTGGATTAGGAGGCCTACACCTCAAATAAAAAGCACAAGAAAACAGGTTATTTACAGCATCCTCAAATTAGCTCTGGCTAAAATCTCAACTTCTACATGTCAGCTACTTACCAATTATTTGGGGAGACCACCAGTTTAGCTCTATGAAATGGGACATGGCACCCTGGAGGCAAGCCCCTCCTTCAGGTACTTTCAGGTTGCAGCTTTTTGATGAAACACACGAGAAATTTGGTTGTGATAATTCAGCACTCAGAACTGTGAATCTCTGAAATTTTCATGTAAGTCCTAGTGTAAAAGAATTTTTTTTACAAAACTTGGGATGACACCAACTTATTTCTTCAGAAACAATTTTTTTTTTTCATACTCCAACAATGGCCCTCTGATTCCAACAGGTTGATTTCGCTGGGAATTCTGCACTAAACCGGTTTTTGGGGTTTGCTGCGTTTTTTGCTGGCGTGGCTATTCTTTCTGGACCACCCATAGCAGGTAATTATCTACCTTCCAAGGGAATCAACAGGAAAGTATTGGTACATGCTAAGTTTCTATCAACATTCTACCAAAAAGGAACCATTTCATTCCTGACTTGTTTCCTTGCCTTTTCCTCCTCCTCTTCCCCAAATGATCTATGTGCTATTCTCCAAACCTGAGCTCCATCTTCTGACTCTACGCTCCTACAGATTCAGTCATGCCTGTAATGCTCTCCTTCTCTTCATTTCCACCTCTTAAAATCCCTGGCTTCCTTTAGGGGGTCAGCTCAAGGGCCACTTCCTATGGGAAGTCTTTACTGGTCAACAAAGGTTAGCGGTCATTCTCTCCTCAAATTCTTTTGTTCACTTCTTGGTGTATATGTGAGACCCCCTACAAAACAGAGGAGGCCAGGGGCCATTTTTCAGCTTTGTCCTCACATCCCCAGTGCTTACATGCTTAATAAATGCCTGCTGAATTCAGTCTTCTCAAGGGAATAGGTTTGGGGGAAAGAGTTTGGCCCAACTATGTTATAGGCAGCTGTTACCCTACACACAGAGCTTTTCAGGCTCCATGGTAACAGCTCACTGGGATGGATCTCATGGGAACGACCAGACCATCACTGAGACAGATTCCCAACAGTTTCCGCCTCACCAGTCGCGTCCTTGCCTCTGCAGCAGGGCCATGGTGAAGGTGTCTCCCTAGATTCTTATCATTCCACAACAGCCTGGAGATCAGTCGTTTGACTTTTCAGGAGAAACTGCGGGTAAAACATCATCTGGACTAATAAGATTAGAACAAAACGTGACAGAAAAGTCTTGTGGGGAAAGCATTTGCAGATGTGGGCCCTGACAAATGTGGAAAGCTGAGCAGAATGACGGCAGGTCTATGCTTCGTTCTGTTAACTTCTCCAGACTAAAAATCCAACTTCAATTTACCTTTTTTTTTTTAAATGCTCACCTGGATATCTGTTCTTAAACAAGGTCAACATATTGAGAGCTAGAGTTGGAGGGGGTGAGGAACAATTTTTAGGGGAAGATGTTTGAATGCTAGACAATAAATATAAAGCTTTCCAAACATCTGGTAAAAATACAGCCACTAGAAACTCACTTTTATGCTTCCTCCAGCCATGACCAGTATTGGAGACAAGGAGGGATCTGATTTTGCACCTTTCATTTTTCACCTAGGTAGTTTAACGTTCAGACACTGTAAATTTAAGAGTCAATAAAGGGCAAAGATCAAAAGGGAATTTTTATTTTAGCATCTGAATTTATTTTATTTTAGCATCTGAAGTTAAATTAGGGGGTCCCTTTAAAGAAAGAAAGTTACATGTGAAGAAGAAAAAATGCACAGGACTACATTTAAAGTCCAAGTTTGCATATAGTGAAATGGAGAAAAGGGAAATTTATACAACCAGATTCCAGATTCCTTTCTCTGAACACTCCTTCTTCTACCTGCAAAGATAAATGCTATTTGGCAAAACACTATCTATATTTCATGTGGGGAATACAGACTGGCATTTTTAAGATCTAGTATCAGAATTAAGTTTTACAGGAAACTATAGGGAGGAGGCCAAGTACCAGAAAGTGCCCAACAGAGTGCTTGCATGGTTAGTGCCAACATCAACAAGTACTGATGAGAGTCTGAATTTAGTTTGCATCTCTGTAATATGAATATTGCCTAGTAGGCTAATCCTTTCAGGTCAAGAGCACAAGGTAAGAAATGTCTCTCAATAATATAGCAACTAGAGATTATATAATTTCATTCATAATTCTAAAGGTAGAATCCAGAGATCTGAAATTCTAATGTGTTTAAACTTTTAAAAATAAATTTAAAGATTTCAGCAAATTGGACAACTAAAAGAAGGGCTTGAGGGGTAAGAGGAAGGACAGGAAGAAAGGGAGAATTACAAAACAAAATACTTAGAAAGAGGGTAAGCAGAGAAATCACAAGAAACGTTCTAACTTCCAAACTCTGTGCCATAACCTATGGATGTATTTTTTTTTCTGAAAACAAAAAACCCATAAATCTTAAATTCTAATTTTTCTTATAGTCAAGGAAAGGGATAAGGTTATTGCTAGAAAGCAAATGTTTTTGTATAAGGATCTTTGAGTCTAGGGGCTTGTTTGATTTAATTTCACTCTAACTACTATGGCAGCTCAAACAAAATTATGCTAAACCCCTCTCCCTGACAGCAGTGCTGACCTGATTAGAAGCAGCAGAAGGGAGAATCCTCCAGCATCTTCCTGGTTACACAATTGACTGGGAAGGCCTTTCTTGAACAGCAGCAGTCAGATGTATGTCTCTCATCCCTACTCCAATGCTGAGCAGTGAAGCAGCAGCAGAAATATTAAACCACTGACTGACTCAAGTCTTTTCAACAGGGACAGGATTTTTCAACAGGATTTGTCTTAAGAATTATCTATGACAAAATGCCAGAAACAAAGCCAAAGATGGGCCTTTCCACTCTTTTAATGCACATTACAAAGAATGTTCTCTTTCGTGCTAAGTCAACTATGACTTTCCAGGACCCTCTGTCACATAATAATTCTTCTTCCACAGAAAACAACTTTCCCCACAGATCCCCAGTCAGAACATTAATTAGTTAATAGCTTACCAGAAAATTCATTTTCCCTCTTCCTGTATGGAAGTGAAACAGGGAAAAAAAAAGTTAGTTCTTTATCATTTGTTTCAATTGAATGAGGGCCAACAAAGAGCGTGGGAAATTTGAGATATAACATAATTGCATTTATACCGTTTGAAAGTCTAAGCATATTGACATATGCTTTCAAGGATTTATAAAAATTATTTCATCCATTTCTTAACTATGGATGTAAGAATAAAGAGTAGATAAATTCATAAGGAAAACTTAACTAAAAGTTACTGATGCATGTGTATTGCATGAGTACCCAAGAGAACACTACAGGTAGATCATAAAAACAAACTGATATTGCTCACCACCAACTTTTCCAACCCCAGAAAGTCAATCTGATCTCTGTCAAGTCTCAGAAATACACCAGAGAGAGCTTCAAGAAGCCTGGCTCTGCTTCAGGGCGTACTTGGCAAGATCCCAGCCTGAAGTGGACCTCCCAGACTCACCCTGGGTTAATCCTAGGACTGCCCTTGAGAATAGAGTCAAATATCCTTCTCCTTGACCCAAACTATGTCACTAGGCTCTGCTACCTACTGGCCAGGTGACCCTGGGAATTTTTTTAACCTCTGATTGCTCAAACCTCAAAACATTCTGTATTCTCTGATTATTAGCCTTCCTAGTAAGTCTCTATTGATTTAGGTAAATCTGAAAGAAAATGTAACACCTTGGACAAACCTGGGCAGGCTATGAAACAAATAGTCATCATATCCTAAATACAAATACAAAGCAAAAAAGAAATTGACTTACCTGCAATTCCTCATGCTCCATCCATGGCATGTGACTAATCTCAAACTGCTAAAAGCTCAAATTTGTTAAACTGCCCCGTCAAGGACTGGAATTAAAACTTACCTGTCAATAAAGTACAAAAATAAGTAGTTTTTTTCCCAATGCAGTTATGGTGTTACACAAAAATTAGATTAATATGCAACCTCATCTTTTAAAGATTTTTTTTCTCTGCCAAAATGTTATTGTTTAAAAAAAATTCACTCATATATTTATTAAGCCTGAGTGAACCCTTACGGAAGGAACAATATAACGCACAAAGTGAGTTAACAACAGGTTGCCATTTATCACAATAGTTAACCAATAGCAGTTCATTCAAACATAAAGAACTATGAATTACAACACATGTGGAATTTGCTGTTACAAGAGGTCTTGGGTTTCCCCCTCATTAAAGGTGTTGAAACAAAAGGCTGGCTGTCCACATGTTAGGCATTTTGTAGAGGGAATTCTTTGAGGCTGTCTGGACTAGAGCCACTAATGTCCCTTCCAACCCTCAAATTCTGCAACTCAGCAAGTGTTAGCTCCTCCACCTTATGGTGCAAGCTTCAGAGAGGCACTTCAACCTCCTCCCCCCATTTTCTTATCTTTAAGATGGGTGGAATTTTTATTTGAAACTACTATAAGAAATTGATGGGTTTTTTTTTTTTTTAAAGTAGAGGTCCAAAAAGGTTAAATGATTTGTCCAGTCAATAGTGGAATTCAGGGCAACCTCTCTATCAGAATCCAGTTTCCAAAATGAATAATTACAAATTAACCGTAATCTCAGGTAAATAATGAACTCTCTCATTCAGGAGCAAATCACTTAATCCTAGTGCTTCTCAACGGTCAGAAGACCTGGGTTTTCCTCCAAGTTCTGCCACTAACTAGATGGGTAACGAGAGGGCCAGTCCCGGTCCTCCTCTGGGCCTCAATATCTTCGGACAAGATCACCTTCAAGCCCCTTCCAGATATGACATTCTGTGACTTGGGGAGAATCACAGATAAATCATATCAACTTCCTATGAAATGCTAGCAAAATGAACCTTTGCTCTCTATCACTCTCCTTCCTCCTTGGAGTATTAGAACAGTTCTACTCATACTAAAAAATTTCTACTAACCCTAACCACACCCACACCCAGAATTTCACTAGTCTTCACCAGCCACTTGAGACTTGATTTCAGGTACTGATCACTAATTTGCTGAACTTTTCAATCTTTTAGTCTGATGTTCTTGATCTTTTGAAACCCACTATCCTTGATTCCCAAATGGGTGAAGGGGGAAGGAAGGCAGAGGCTTATAGCAGCATCCTTTCTGCTAGGTGACATCACAAGGCATCTACTGTCCCCCGCAGCAACAGAAAGAGAAGCTGTAAATTACTTTATTTACATAAAGATGTTCTTGCCAACATATCAGAATCCTGTAAGGCTCAGCTCTCCTGAAGTTCATGAGTCCCTAAATCAAAATGAAAGAACATTTCCAAAGTGCCTAAGTATGCCCGTAACTTTTCTTTTTGGTCCAGGATAGATTTTACTGTTAGGAGGAAGAGCTCCTACCAATAAGAATCAGAAACTTCTCTGGAACTTTTAGTCAGTCTCCTGGGGGCACTGAGAGGGTTAAAAAAACCACCCCAGGGTCATCTGGCCAATAGGTAGTAGACGGAGGACCAGAGCACTCTCCACTAAAAAGGGAGACTCTCCTTCCCCACAAAATGTCACGTGCTTAGCAAGACAAATGACATAAACTACTAAAGCCTTAGTGTGGACTGGGAAAATACAATGGGAAATGTAGGTGATATAAAAACAAATGATATCAACAATAAATTGCTTGTAATAAAAGCATAGCCTGAGAGCAGCTAGGTGGTGCAGTATATAGAGCACCAGCCCCGAAGTCAGGAGGACCTGAGCTCGAATCCAGTCTCAGACCAAACACTTGACACATACTAGCTGTGCGACCCTGGGCAAGTCACTTAACCCCAATTGCCTTTAAAAAAAAAAAAAGCATAGCCTGCAGCGTCAGATAAAAGCTCACACACAAACACACACACACAGAGCCTATAGGCAGAACACTCCCTTGCTGGACAAGGAAGAGACTATTTATGCAGGGTCCTCTGGGGCCCCAGGTCCCCACAAGGGTCAGGCTTGATAAACAGCTATAGCAACTTGAGAGTTCCTACGTAGGGGATAACCCATCCCCAGGCATGTCGAGAAGGTGGGTGGGAGGAATTTTAATGTGCCTAATACCTTCCAGGAAAGAGGCAGGTGTATCTTTTAAAGTGTGAGGCTTTTCAGTTCAGGCTGAAGATGTGAGAGAACAGGAATAGCAAACAGTACTCCCTGTGAAATAAATTTAGGAAAGCTCACTCCAACACTCAACACAATTCAACAAGCATTTATTATATTCAAGGTACTGCCAAGGCCCAAATCTCTAGGGAATCCTGCAGCTAACAATTTAATGAAAAGGATTACTCAATTAAGACTTCGTAAAAGTACGTAGTTTAGTCTGTCTTTCTTCAGGACTTTTCCTGGGGACCCTGGGCACATTGATGTCTCCAAAAGCATTCAAAGCACCTTGCTTTCAATTGCAGGGCCAAGTTTCGCTATCAAGACTTTAAAATATCCTGGACACTGAACCAAGAGGAGTTCTTTTGCCCAAGCATTACAACAGCAGGATCCAAGTGCCATAGCCATAAACAGAAATAAGCTGGGCACAGTCACTGCCCTGTATTTTGCCTCTATGAGAACCCTGATGCTGCTCTGGAGGTAGCACAAATCAGCTAACTTTCAGGGCAGAGGCAGTTTGGCTGGTGTAATCCACTACTCAACATAAAGCAGACACTCAGACTCATAGGACTTTCACGAGTCCTGTCTCAAACATGACTGTATCACCTTCTGACCCATAACTCAAACCATGTCTCTTGCACATCTCTACTCTAGACTCCCCAACAATCTAGAAGCTTCTAGAGTCAGGGTTTACTACCACTGTCTAATATTCTGAATACTCTGTAAAAGGCATCAATAGCATTTCCAGTCCTAATAAATCTGCCAAACTGATCTTACTGTTTTCTTACCTGGCTAGACTTGGCAGTCCACCAAGTACCCCTTGACCGGCCATTCTGGGCAGCAAAGTCTAGAAGAGATGAATAGACCTCACTCGTTAAATGAGGTTGGGGAAAGGCACTGATATGGTTGTTTAAGCCCTTTCTGATATAGAGTTTTCTGAAACACATCTACCCCAGAACTACCTGCCACATTAAAACATTTCATCTTTACTTAGCCGTATCACCTGGCTACCTTCCTTGTAAAACTCAATACCAATCCAATGGCTGATGCCAAATTCCTTCTCCACCTCCTTTCTTGTTTCTCCCAATCATCTTCATCTCTATTTTTAAACAACATTCAAGATATTTCCTTAAAATATCCGTAACTGCCCTCAAGTGCACAGACCAGAGATCACCAACCTTTCCCTAAAGATCTATTTTTGATTCTCCCAAAATTTTAAGATCATTGAATTTGAAGGGAAAAGATTATAAGAAAAGTGAGTATTTTTGCCAGCTACCCTCCTCTTTAAAAGGCACAAAGAAGGGCATGCTGGTGGCAACCAGATGGGGAGTTGACCACATCAGTAAATCTGAAGTTTTGTAGTTTGGTCATGATCAGTCCAACTTGTCAAAGAAGCCTTCCTTTTGTAGAGTGGGTTGAAAATGGTTATTTTAACAGCCAGGTTACCTTTTATTCTACTGATGACCAAAGAGCCAAAGAAGGGGGAAAAGAATAAATAAAAAGCAGCTTGATTTCATTTAAGTTTTAGGGCTTTTTAAGAAATAAATTGTCACACTGGCAAATCTAAAACAGAAGCAAAAAATACATTTTTAGTTCTTTAGAACAGCTAATTAAGGGAACAGAAAGTGATACAACCCAACATACCCATCACTTGAAAGAAAAAGAGATACTTTCATGGAATGACAGAGTTGTGTTGTGTTTTTACAACCAGAAACACAAAATGAGTGCCTTTAGCCTATCAATACCACTTCTAGGCTATTGCTAGCAAAGCTCACTAAAGCCAAGTTCATTCTTTTGAGAACCAAAGGAATAAATAGGCCTGTCTTCAGCTGTCCATTTACTTACAGGTTGACCACAGTGTTGGCTCAAGGTTTTACTGGACTTCAGAAATAGTGAATTTCCTCGTGTATTCAGAAGGTAGTGATAAGCAACGTGTATTCTTCCATAAGCCAAACAGATGCCTAACAACAAA